CAGAACGATGTTCCCTTTCCCTTATTCTGCAGAACCTGTTCAAGGGCCTCTTGTTGAGGTATCTGCCAACAGAAAGGGTATGTAAATTACCCTTGGTCTCATTCTCTACTCCCCTGGATATGTAACATGCTCTTCTCTCATCTACAACTGGCCAAGAGGAGCCTACTTCTCAGTGTCACTGGTAGGCTTCATCTCATAAAGCTGTGTTGGACTGAGTCAGGATCTTCTCACACTCACTGCCTGATTCTGACCCCATTCCAGGAGTCTGTAACAAATGAAGGTATATAAAATACCACAGTTTCCAGAATGCGCTACTACTAAGAGCGTTTTTTCCTTCTCTGTCCATGCCAACAGTAAACTACTCTTGGAGACTGTGTTTCCCAGGACTCAATACACTATTGAGTGTATTGTCTCCTATCCTCAAACACAAACACACACAGAAAACACTACGATTCCCCACCCAAGTATATTATGAGAGTTACAGCCTCCAAACAGAAACTAAAAGATACTGATTGGGAAGTAAAGGTTGGAACAACACTCTGGCTTAAACTGTAGCTGCCTTATTTTCTGACTTAACCAGACCTTGCATTTCCAAACTAAGGGCTGACTACAAAGGTTGTAGGGTCTCACTGCCTACCTTCAGGGTAGGCTCAGCACTGCTGCTATGGCTTCCAACCACTCTCCAGTGCAGTTCTGTCAGACCTGGAGTTTGAGGAGATATTGGCAATAAGCCAACTGTAAGTCCTGGTTCCTGGCAATGTGAGTGTGTAGTATTTTGTCTTCTTAAGTATTTTAGGGGGCAGCTGAGGCTGCTTATCAGATGCTTTTTAAAATATAAAATTACAATGATGGGAAGGAGGTTGTGACTGAAAAGAATTCCAGAATCTCAGTGTTGCAAGGGACCTGAGAGGTCATTCAGTTCAACCTCTTCAACTCTACAATAACTCAGTAAGTGGTTTCAAGCCCAGGCTTGAATCCCTCCAGTGATCTAGAACTCACTACCCGGTAAAACAACTCACTTCATTTTTACAGAGTTCTAATTTTTAGAATGTTGTATTTTACACTGAGACAACATTTACTCTCTGTACTTTCTATGACTCCTAGTCCTCTGGAGTCACAGAATAATCCTAACATTTCTTTCAAGAGACAGATCTTCAAACACGATAGTATCAAATCCACCTCCCAAGTTGTCTTTTTCAGTTGTTCCTAAAGATGAAATAGCAGAGCTTTGAATAATTCTATATAAGCACACTATGCTGGCTATTCAATACTCTAAAATGCAGTAGTGCAATATGCAACAATGGTAAATATCCTCTTGGTCAGCATCCCAATTTACAGAACAGAAAACTGAACAACCTCAACCTACCACATATCTTCTTTTCCACAGCTCCAGTAACCCCTGATTAATGACCTCCACTTGCAAAGGAGGCTACTTACCTTAACCATGAAATAATGAATGCTATTGATCCAACAAGCTTCTGCTATAGAGTGTTACTGATCACCCAATCTTTGGTTAAAATGGTCCTCATTTAGCAATTTCACTGTCACAAACACCTGGAGCAAAGCACGCTCATAATTAAAGAGTTTGGGGGAGTTAAAGTGAGAGGTGATGGACAGAGATTTCAGCTTTCTCCCATTTATTCTTGCTACTGAGCTATTGTTTGTGTCAGAAGGGATATTGATTTTCTATAAAAATAAGAAAACAAGAGGCACCAAGGGGCCGCAGAAGGTCAGCTTGAGCTAGAGAAGGAGGGGGAAGGTTTAGCACTCTATCTCTGTCACTTGGCTTCCAAGAGAAGGGAATATTTTCTTCCCTGTGAGATCCGCTTCTAATACATCACCTCAGGAAGGCTCCTAAGTGTAACTTCAGGACATCACCAAACCAATTCACTATTTTAAAAAAAAGAAGCTAAACTATATTCAAGGGGAACAGATGAATGATGTGTAAGTGAAAAACAGTAAGATTAGGCTATGACTCACATAATTGTCACTATATACACAATTTGAATAAAGATTAGTAGAAAGTAATTTTACAAAAGAATTGTTTCATTTTAGAATGGAACACACATGCACAGAAAAACATTGAAATAATAACTGAACTTTTTGTAGGCAACAAAAAACTATTACATCATAAACTTTCAGTTCCTCAGAACTCTTGAGAGATTGGTTGGTATAGAACTGAAGGAAGAACAGAGAGAGAAAAGCAAAAAGAATTATTGGTTAAGCTTAAAACTACTCTGTTCACTAAGCAGAAATAAAGCCTGCTGATTGAGACATAAATTTCAAACCTAAAACACCTAACACATGCTTTTTAAAAGAACTCTATCCATTGACTAGGTGAAATAAAGCTTCTTTATCAACTCCATTCTAATAATTTTATAAGTTGGAGCACATACTTGACAATCCTCCATATCACCGATAAAAAGTAAAACTCTCCACTTTGATCTGTATGCAAATAAACTGGCACATCCAAGCAGATTTATGAAAGAGCAATAACCAAGAGGATTCTTGAAAGTATTTCTTTTAATGTAAAAAAAGTGTGAAAATTTTGACAGCATCAACTCACCAAGACAGTATAATATCTAAATCATAAACTATTACCTACTTAAGCATACTCTAATGCTAGTCCTGTTTATAAGGTGTGCTTAATAATCCAGGGCAGAGATTTTAGTTCCACTTTACTGTTGACAGGCTGAACACAATATGCAGTCAAAGAATAAGAAACAATCTTCTTTCCCCACAGAGTACATTTAGGGGGAAGAAAAATACAAAACACTTCTGTTTGCAACTGCAGACGAATCAGCGTAAGTCAAGGCAAATTTAAGACTCTTAAATAATTAGATTCTAAGAAGAATTTTTCTCACTCTACTATATCTGCTACTACTCCATTCATTATTCCCTCACAGCTACAAGGACTTTGATGTCCACCAAAGAACTCTGGTTCCTTGAAAGAACTCTGAAGTTATGGGCCAGGGAGACAGCCAAAATGGGGGAACAGCCTCCACAACTTGAAAAGAGTAAGAATTTCATAAGAATTGCTGCCTACCTCAATTTATCCAGGCTCTTAGATAACTAGAAGGTATATTATCACAACTGATTATAGTGTGCAACAGATGTGTCTGGGCTAGAACTACAAGATTACAGGCTCTACATTTGGAACCAGACTTGAGCTGTGATCTTAGAAAAGACAACTAACAGTTGCTCTACACGCAATTATGTCATAGTTTAAAAGAAATTCTGGGGAAGAAAGATACACATCCAAAAACATCATCCCAAAAAGCTGTTTTTTAAACTGCCATTCTTAACAGTAAGGTGATTACTATTTGGTATGTCAGCTTGATATTGAAACAAACGTGAATACCTCAGTTGAGGGTTTCAGTATTGTGAAAGGCTGTATGTTGACTACACATCTCTTGTTTGATTAAAAATAATATGATACGGAAAAAAAATCTTTATAATCCAAAATTATACAAATAAATCAGGAAAACAGCCTTAGAATATATATTAGAGGAAAATCAGGATAGCCGAATTATAAACCTACCTAGTTGCACAGAATGGCAAATATAAAGTTATCAAAAACAATTTTTAAAGCTGGATTAAAAACCACCCATTAAAAGTAAAAGCATACAGACCTGGACAGCTTTCCTGTTACTGACAAAGCCTCACCTCAGACTTCCTAAGATTTATGTCTCTGTTTTTCAGAAGAACGTCAGAAGCAGCAAAGTCCTAAGAAAGGTCACCCGTTCTAGTTATAAAAGTTAACCTGAGACAGAAAAAGAGCCACAGAAAACACAAGCTCAAAGAGCGGCAAAATGTGGTGGTTAACTATGATCTTTGGAATCAGGTCTGATTCCCAGTTTTGCTACTGGGTGACTCTGGGCAAATTATCTACACATTCATAACCTCTACTTCCTCTTCTATAAAATACAAATAGTGCTACCTACCAGACAGTGAAGGTGTGAAGATCAAATGAGAATATATGTTCTGCACAACAGTACAGTGCCTGGCACACAGTTAGTGCTTAATAAATGCTAACTAATATTAACAATAATAGAATACTGTGGTTCTCAACTGGAACTACTCAACCTACCCTAGGGAGCACCCTTGGAAGCATCTGCTTTTTATGATGAAGGGCAGTGGGAACAATGTAGGGATGCCAAATATCCTGCAAGACATAGGACATCCCTCACTACAAAGAACTGCCCCATCCAAAACACCAACAGCATCCTTATTGAAAAACAAGATATCACTCATTAACATTAATAATAATATTAAAGTATAAAGCTGTATCAAGGTTCCGAGGACTATCTATTTGAGATGCAAAAAATAGAAAGTCACCAAAAACTACACTGACATTTAAAACATGCATCCATCAGAGACAAATTTTTCTGGCTTGATGACATTTGGTATAAGACTAATGGGATTCAGCACTGTTATTTTCAAAGCCTACCAGGTGTTCAGACAACTTGAATGCCAGCCATGAAAGCAAACTTAATACAGTCAAACTGTAAGTAGCACAGAACAGAATTGCAGCCCAGAAATACCTAAAGCCATGATTCCTCACGGGTAAAGGCAGCTTACCAGGAACATTTACAAACTCCACGTGCCTGGAACCCACGTTTTCTCTCACACACACCAGCCTCTGCTGAGACCCTGGTTCTATTTAAAGAACAGTGTCTACATATGACCTACGTGGCATAAAGAGCAGCAAAATGTTTTTAAGATAAAACTCCTGATTATGCATTTGAGGTACACATTTTAAACAATATCTATAAGCAAATGTGTTTCTATAAAATACAGCCTTCTTGACATAGGGAAACAGGCTCATGAATGTACTTTAAGAAGCTAGAGATAAACACTACCTGATTGGTTAAAGGAGGGCTACAAAGTCAATACTACAGTGGCTGGTTTGGAAGAAGGCTGAATTCATCAAGACTGTGGACTTGTGCTTTGGCTAAAATTAACCAGGAAAATCTTTGACTTAGTAAGGGAGATCTCACCATTCTGACATGTTCTCATCAGAACCCTGTTTTTGTTCATCTGCTTCACATTCCATCCTTTCTTTCCTTCCCGTTTTGCTTAGGAAAGTCCTATTTTCTGCTGATTCACACAACCCGTGACCTGACGAGGTCCAGGGACTATTCTCCTTCCAACGGGACAGACGCTGCTTCTTAGCAGACTTGAACCTGCAGCCTCTCTCATAGCTCCAATCTGACACCTTGAGCTTCTGCTGAAGGCTGGCAGCCACCTCTGAGGTCACTCGCTTCACCTTACGCCGGCGCCGGAGCGGTCGACAAGGTGCATTTTCAGTAAAAGAGTCAGATTCATGCCAAGAATGTTGCTTACTCTTAACAATGGCGTTGAGAGCTGGGTGCCGTTTGGCTACCATGGTGTCATCAGAGTCACTAAAATTGGTGACTGGGGCCATTTCTCGACAGTCCTTAATAGCCTCATCCAGACTTGACTCGGAGGCCTCACTGTAGCAGCAGGTATGCTCTGCCAGGTGAGTGAAGTCTGAACGGCGCTTCCGGCCTCTGCGTTTGCGAAGCTGCCGCCTCTGCTGCCGAGGGCTCAGGGCCATCTCCTCCCAGAGTTCACCAAGCTTATTCTGCTCAGATGTCTGCTCCAAGGCTGAGGCTAAGTCATGTACCAGCTCATCCATGAGGCCACATCTACCAAAATTTCAGAAAAAATAAAAAGAAGAAAGACTGAATGGGATCTGTCATTTTTGATAATTTTATAAAATAGATCATGGCACTGCAAAGGTCACCCTATCTATAGAAATTAAAAGTCACCTTCACCTGGCTACTTAGACTCTAATCCTACCAACCATGCCACTAAAAGTAGGTGTTTGGCCCTTGTTAAGTGCCTGAAGTCAACATGTTCTTAAGCACAAAAATTCAAAATACCAGATGACATCTCAATTATTAGTAAAAACAAGCAAACTCGGGGGGAATAAATCTTTCCCATTTCCCCCCCAATTAAACTTGCTAAACTAAATTACCTGAGGATGAGATCCAAAAAGATTAGAGAATGTCTCATCAGACAGGAGTAGAAAAACACTTAACTTCAACATTGGATGAAAGTCTGTTTTATGGTCTGGGGTCACTAATAGGAGTGTTTGTGGCAGGAGAGAAAGACTACTTAGTGACACTTTACAGAAGAATGCCTGCAGTTTCGGTGATCCAAGAATTTGTAGTGATCCAGGTTTGTACTCTGCATGGATAAAAAAGACTTAAGTTTGCACCCATTCTGGTCACAACTACCACTTGGAAGCTACCAGGTAAAGGGCCTTATAGAACATGTCATATATTTGTGACTAATTAGCAGCTTTTAAGCTCTTCTCACAATCCCTCAGAAAATAAATTAAGTGATCATCCAAATTTTGTGCTTTAGTGCCAGACCATTACACAAAAACGGGATATAACTGAGGCTGAAATGACAAGGATGGGTGGAGTCTCCAAGACTTCTAGCTAATAGCTTTCCAAAATTTTCTACTTTTCAACTTATTCATGTGAAATATCACACTTCAGGGATCACTTCAGAGGTAAACCTTCCAGAGGATGAAAGCAGGAGAAGCAATTTTCAAAACGCCCTTTTAAAGGGAAATGTCTATTATATTTTGTACATTTAATTAAATACATTTTAAATTAGCACTTTTCCCCTAGCCCTTGTTAAACCCAAAGTAATTCAAGACCGTAATTAGAGCTTAAAACTGTGGCGCCACTCTCAGACCATATCTCTGTTGATACAGTTTACATTTTGCAAAGGACCTTCTAAAATCTATTTCCATGCTATCCCTATGCCAACCAGTTCAAAGGCAGGAAAACAGTCAGCTGGCTTATGCACCATATCGGTGGGAGCAACAGGGACATCTAGTTTCAAAACTACCAACGAAACAACACTTCTCAAAATGTCAAAAGCCGCATTCGTAAAATGACCACATCCCTTCAAACAATAAGTAGATTAAAACGCCATGACTGAGGTTTGGGAGACAACTGTTCCTAAAACCAAAACAGATACGTGGGGATGCACTTATCTAAATCTACCTCTCTAATAAGGAGCTACTGCTTTAAGAACTCAGGCAGAACTGTACAAACTTTAACGTGGAACCAAGTTACCAACTAACTTGTATCGAATGCCTGTGCAGTCGAATGCCTACCTCAGCGACTGCAATTCGAACAGTAGGTGACAGAACCCTGGAACTCCCACCCCTCCCTGGATGCACAGTCGGAGAGGTCGCCCAGGGCCAGGCAAACACTCGGGGAAAGAAAAAGCTGTCACGCAAAGGAAAGAATCGAAAATTAGCCAAAGTAAAAGGAGAGGCAGGCGCAGAGTCGGAGGGGGAGACGGAGGTGGGGTAGGCGGGAGGCAACTTCTCGTTTGGGATAACCAGGGTCAGGGGGTCAGCCCTTCTAGGACAGAAACTGCCAAAATACAAGTCCTGGCGACTAAACCCCCTCCGTGCTCTGGGGTCGCAACATGGCCACATACGTGAGAAAAAGCATGTTTCGAAGGACTCTCCCCCACGCCCCGGCCCGCCCCGAGGACTAGGGCGACCACAGCTCGTGACACCAAGCCCTCACGCTGTTTCCAGCCCAAAAGAGCCAGAAAGCAGAGAAGAGAGAAGGTGACTCGTCCTAAAGACGACCCGGCCCTCATCCATGGGGATGGGGGGTGATGGGCCCTGAAAAACAAGGCCCCGCCACCCTCGCCCCTCCCGCCGGCCTCCGCGGCCCCCTGGTGCCTCTGTCTGTTCAGCCGCGGCCTGGAGCCCGGATTCCCGCTGGCGCCGACCCCCTGGGCCCCGACCCTTTCACCCCCAATCCCCCTCACCAGCTGCCGCAGCTACCTCCAACGGCCACCGCTTTCGGGGCCGAGTCTCCCCGCCGGGGCTTCCCTCCGTGACCTCATTTCCGGTCTGGGCCGGAGGGGTGGAGCAGTGGTGGAATGGGAGGGACTGGCTGGGCGAGAGGGCCCGCCCCGGCCCGGCGCTTCCGGCTCTTGGCCGCTCCCACTTCCGCCTTACGGGGGGCGGGTCCTGGGGTCCCGAGAAGAAAGACAAAGAGGCGAGGAGAGGCGAGGGGTTGGGGGCGGCAGGGGTGGGGCCGAGGTACCCATTTTGAGGAAGAACCTTCCCTTGCAGGCTTCGTCCGCCTTGGCTGGGGTCAGGAAATTGGGCGCTCGGGAGGGGCGTCGGCCTCGCCCTTGCTCCTGACCTACTTTATGAAGGGTATGTGAAGTTAGGGAAATGGATCCTCATTCTTAACCACACGAGTTGCACAACTGTTGGGGGATAGCTTTGTAGTGAGTTACTCAGACTATTAAAAATACGCATACCTTGAGCAACAAAAGAAGTAAAGCAGTACTGGATTATAACTTGTGAAGTATTTAAGTAATATCCCTACTCCAAATGGATATAAATTAATTACAGATACAAATAAATTTGTAAGTGGGGAAGAAGGGATGTCTTTGGTGCAGAATTCCAAATAATTTGTATAGATACTCCACCCTGAACAAAACTCACGATTCTAAATGTGGACTGTGTAGTGACTTCCTTTCAAAGAGTTCAATATGGAAAGAACGGGAAAGTGAGTAACTTCCTAGCGGAGAGACTAGGCAAGCACTACCTTGGCCAGGTGATCAAGATTAACATCAACAGTGATAAATCATGTTAATAGTATGATACTATTATATATATATAATATATATTAATATTAGATATGATACAACAAGAGTGGCATTTTTCTCTCTAAGGTACTTTCCAAAACTCATAACCCCAGTCTAATAAGGAAAAAAAGTGGTCGACTCCGAAGTTCTACAAAAATATCTGACCAATATTCCTCAAAATTGTCAAGGTTTCCAAAAGCAAGGGAAGTCTGAGAAACTGTCACAGCCAAGAGGTGCCTAAAGAGACATGGCAACTAAATGTAAGGTTGTATCCTGATAGGATACTGGAATAGATAAAGGACATTAGGTAAAAACTAAAGAAATCTGGGTAAATTATGGACTTTAGTTAATAATAATGTCTCAACATTGGTTCATTAATTGTGACAAATGTGCGATGTTAATATGGAAGAAATGGAGTATGAGGTATATGGGAACTGTCTGTAGTATCTTCAGAATTTTTCTGTAAACCTAAAACTATTCTGAAATTAAAAATTTATTTTTAAATATACACATGCCTTTTGACCCAGAAATTATGCCTCTACTAAATTTTATTCTAAAGAAAAAACTGGAAATGGACGTCAAAATGTTAAATACAGGTAAATTCATCTTTGTAGCATTGTGGAGGGCAGGCTGAGAAGACTAGGAAAAAATCCAGAAATCCTACAACAGGGGTTAGTTATCTAAATTACGATAAATCTATTGGATGGAATAACTTGCAGCCTTTTTAAATTCATTGTGGAAAAATATTTAATTACATGAAAAGTCATCAGTTTCTGGTTGTGTATATTTCTGTATGATAGTCATACTTCAATAAAAATGTTACTCTAAACATGTAGAGTATGACTATTCATGTATAAAGGAAATTAAATCTATACTTGCATAGGAATATGACAAGAATGATACACTACGTATCATTCAAAATAGTTCCATTGTAGGCATTTGTATTGCCTACGTGTTGTCCTTATAGATTTTCAGAATTTTCTATAGGTGAAACTTACTATGTAAAGAATTAAGAATGTATAAAAGTAAAAAATAAAATTTTGCCATTTGCAGCAATGTGGATAGACTTGGAAGGTACTATAATAAGTGAAATAAATCAGAGAAAGACAAATACTGTATGATATCACTTATATGCGGAATCTAAAAAAAAATACAACTAGTGAATATTTTTTAAAAAGTAGACACAGATACAGAGAACAAACTAGTGGTTACCAGTGGGAAGAGGGAAGAGGAGAGGAACTATAAAGGGGTAGGGGATTAAGAGATACAAATTATTATGTATAAAATAAGCTACAAGAATGTAGTGTACAACACAGGGAATATAGCCAATATTTTACAATAATTGTAAATGGAATATGACGTTTAAAAATTGTGAATCACTATATTGTACACCTGTAGTTTATATAATCAACTATAATTCAATAAATAAATATACAAATAATATATACTAAGTACATCAACTATACTTCAATTAAATAAATAAATAAAATTGTAAAATTAAAAAAAAAAGAATTGAGGAGACAAAGATGACCAAAGTTTTTTTTCTCTTTTTTTAACATTTTTTATTGATTTATAATCATTTTACAATGTTGTGTCAAATTCCAGTGTTCAGCACAATTTTTCAGTCATTCATGGACATATACACACTCATTGTCACCTTTTTTTCTCTATGAGTTAAAGATGACTAAAGTTTTGAGCCACAGTGACTAACAGAGTGGTTGGTGCCATTTGAACAGCTAGAGAAAGTCAAGGAGAGAAAAAGGTTTGGTGGGAAGATGATTAATTCCAGTTTGGACATACTAAATTTGTGGCTCCCACAGGACAAAAAGATGGAAATGTTCAAGAGGTGTCCCCAGCCATCAGCCCTCTTTTCTGCTTAAGTGACGTTCTCTCCCACAAATCATATCAGCTCCCATGGTGTCAGTTGCCTCCATCAGCACTGAAAGCTCCCAAGTTTCTTGAAATCTAGCTTTTGTTTTCAGCTTTCTATTAGCTATCACCACTTGTCTTCTCCACCAGCATCTCCAATTTAAGATGTCAAAACAAATCTTAGTTTCTTCCACAGTCCCTATCATATCTGCCCCTTCTCCACTGTCCCCAGTTTGGGAGATGTCACCACCATCCTGCAGTTACCCAAGTGAGTTAGCCATTAGCCCCTGCTTTTTCCTTATACCTCTTCATCTAATTAAATACCAAGCCTCATGGATTCTCCTTTGATAGTTCTTGCATCCACCCTCGCTCTTTTGCTATCTGATTGCCATAGACCTCTTCTGGGTAGGTAACTACTCCTGTGAATGGTGCAGCAGCCTCCCTACTGGTCTTACCACTTCCAGTCTCTCTCTCCCCAAAAAGTTATTCTCTCTACTGGTACCAGAGTGAGATTCCTGAAACACCATTTCACTTCATCCATCTTCCACTACCTCCTGCATCATGCTTGGCACACCAGACCCCATGCTATTTCTTGAACACTCCTGGGATTTGGGGTGATTTAAAGGCTCAATGCCAGTGGCACTTCCATGAAGAATTCCCTTTACTTACCTACTCTGTTAGGCTCTCTCAGCCCTTGTTGGTATCTTTCTTACAGCATTTTCTTCATTCAGCCTTGAATCAGAGCCAATTATGTGCAAGTTTGCCCCCCCAACTAAATTACTTATACATAACAAATATTTACTGTATATAGCTGTGTAAACAAAAATGAAGTCTACTCCTTCACCCCAGAGACCCTGTCCTAGCCATTGTATTCTCAGCAATTCCTAGCATAGTACTTTGCACATGGTAGGTACTCAGTAACTATTGTCCATTAAAAAAAATATTTGTTTACTGTTCTGGAACAGGACATTAGAAGTGCTTGTCTCAATCTTCAGGGAAATTTTAAATGAAAGCTAGTGATAATGGTAGCTGTGGGCAGGGCCACTCAAGGAAAGAGGGTACGAGAGAAGAAATCTGTGGGGGCAAAGAAGCCAGCTCAAAGGAACAGAGAGCATTGGAAGAGAACTAGTGTATAGAAGCCAGGAAGGGTGACATTTAAGAAAAAAAAGGACCAAAAGGAAAATTGGAGAGGAACAGTTCTCAGGAAAGGCCATCATTGCTGGTGATTGAAACAGTCGCTGATGATAAGGAGTTCTGAGAAGACTTGGAGCAGGTAAAGCAGAGAAGAGAGAGAAGCCAAGGGTGAAGCTCCACATGTAATTAGCTATGTCCAGAGCTAACTACTGAACTTACTCATCTGTAAGATGAGACAATAGCAGAATGTACCCATCTCTTGGGTGGAGATTAAGAGAAATAGGGAATGCAAAGCATCTAGCATAGAGCCCAACACAAATTAAACATTCCAAAAATATTAGTAATTACTGAGGAAGAGAGTCTAGTCAACGAGTTTCCCCCAATTGACCATTAGCGTGAGGCTGTAAGTTGAATGAGGAAATCATCTGATGAATAGGATCTGCACACAGAAAGAAATAATAGGTTTCTCCCTCCTTTGTCCTTTACACACACACACACACACACACACACACGCACACACACACACACCTCTGCTGATTGCTGGCTCAGTAGAGTCCCTGCAGTTATAGTCAACTGAAAGTCCTCATCACGGCCTGCACAGCCTGTGATCTGGCCCCTGTCCCATGCTGTCAGTACCAATCACTAAGCCCTCCCTCCTTACCTCCCTCCCCCCACCCCAGGGCCTTGGCATATACTGTCCTGCAACCAAGAATGCCTGTCTATAGGGTTTTGCAAGTGAGGGTCAAGGAATCGCCTCATCTTTGAAGTCTTGGCTAAAACATCACCTCCACAAAGAGGCCTTTTCTAATACCATCTGAAGAAATCCTACTCTCCTAGACATTTTCTATCTCATCATTTTCTTTCTTTCTTTTATGACCTAATCATAATCCAACAGTACCTTGTTTATTTGGTGTGTATTTGTTTATATTCTGTCACCTCCCACAAGACTATAATTATCATAAGAACAGAGATAGTGTCTTTTTGCCTTTGTGTCCCTCCCACAATTCTTTTCCTTGCTCAGATCTTCTCTAAGCTGATCCAAGACATTCTGGACTCTCCAGAATTTTTTTTCCAGTAACCACTGGAGAGATGTTACTAATAGAAGCAGTGTCCAGCAAGGTGGAGGGCAGGAAGTGTCCACATTCACATGAAAAATGAGTGACTCCCCAAATCTTGCCTTCCTCCTTGGCCCCAGCACTCCTGACACCTTTTTTGTAGGTGGCAGATGGCAAAGGTTTACCAAACTCTGCTGATGCCAC